AGAGGGGATCTGGTGGCCATCTACAAACTGGCCAAGGGGGAGCACGAGGGAACGGGAGGATCCCTGTTCCCCTGAGCACTACCAGAGATAACAAGGAACAACGGCCATAAGTTGACTGAGAGTAGATTCAGGCTAGACATCAGGAGGTGCTGCTTGACAGTCAGGGCGGCTAGGATCTGGAACCAACTTCCAAGGACAGGGGTGCTCGCTCCTACCCTGGGGGTCTTCAAAAGGAGGCTGGATAATCACCTAGCCGGGGTCATTTGACCCCAGTACTCTTTCCTGCACCGGGCAGGGGGTCGGACTTGAAGATCTGCTCAGGCCCCTTCCGACCCGACCAACTATGAAACTGTGGTGCACAGTAGCACCGCAAACCAGGGTACAAGCAAGAAAGGCCTAGCACCTCCCCAGAGTCGTGGGATGTGCCAGCTGCTGATCTCCACCTAAGCATGGGCTCAGACCTAGTAGTCATCAAGAAAGGTACATGCCTGCCCAGTTTCCAGTGGTTGTGCAGATAAAGACTGCCCTCAGACACAGCGCAATGCAGCCATAGCACTCTGAGGCTAATGAGTGAGAAACCAGCCCTGGGAAACTGGATCTAGACCTGCTGTACAACAGTGCTGCTCACTTACCACTGGGACAGCTGGCCAGTCCACCAGACTTCGCTAGCTCCAGCCTCCCATTTCTATTGCTTTGAACCTTCTTTTTCTACACATGCATGCACACACTTAGACCTCAGATCTGTTCTCTGATTGCATGCCAGCAGAAACCATTAGAAGGATATGACAGTAGATTTATTTGCAGCCTGTGAAGCTGACAAGGAAACGCCCATGAGCACTAACTTGTGCTATAAAGATCTGTTACCAGCCAGGCCTTATTGACACGCTCTGTCTCCAGAAAGTTAACAGGTCCTTGGGGATATCACATAACAGGGTTAGACCTAGGCTCCCCCTGTTCTGCATCAGTTAGAGAGACAGAGGACAAGAGCTCTGATTCAAGATTGGATGCAAGCACGCTTATTAAAATCTCAGCAGAGGATGCTTACGCAGCACTTTGATGCAGTTCATAGGCAAGAGAAAAATCCAAAGGCACAGTCAAGATTAACTATTTTAGGACACAATAACTCAACTATTCTGTGTAAACTCTTTGTAAAATCCCTGTGTATGCAGGAACATATGCTCCGTCTTCCCATCCTTACTGTCACAGCCACCAATCCTAAAGAGTAAGACAGTGGTATACTTTCATACAAACAACCTGCTTTCCCTTTTTCTGGCTTCTTTCTCCTGAATTCTTTCCTTGGCTGCAGTTTCCATCCTTTACACTCATCGTTGCCCAGAGGCATTTTTGGCTTTCTTTTAAAAGCAGGAGCAAAAAACATCCAAGAAAAGACCCTATCCCAAACTCCTCCCTTTCTAGGCTCCCTGGAGAATCTGGAGAATGCTCTTGGATCCCCAGCTGAACCTTCCTCTCTGCCTTCAAGTGCTGTACCCTGTTGCCTGTTGCTACTTTGCTGCCAAGCCATTCAAAGCTCCCCGGTGCACAGCCAGCCCTGCTGTCAAAAGAAGAACACGGCACTTACCGCAGGCTGCAGCTCCACCCAAGAACTGCTGCTGCTCTGAGGAGGGGTTGCAACTGAGGTTGCAGAATTCGGCTAATTTCTCTGTGCCAAGTGAGCCAAGTGTGCAATCGTTGGATGAGGGTTTCAAAAAAAACCAAAAAAAAAAAAAAAAAAAAAA